AGGGTTAGTTCTCGGTTTGGAACCCCTGGGAGCCAAGACGCTATGGAAACCTTTTGGCTTTGATTTCGCTTATAATTTTATTGACGTAATTGTAGTCAACCCTCGGCCTTCTCTACTGACCCAGGCAGCCCACTGCTGCATCTTTGGGTCTGCGTGTCGACTATGTCATGTTCAAGATGCATCTTCAGGGATATCCCAGACAAAACAATGTCAGACAGTACCATTTATGTTGAATTACGCAGGTTCTCTTAATACAAGGACTATTGAAGGTGAATTTCTCTTGTAAATAGCACTTTTGCACCTGATGAACATTCATTGTGCTCGGGACCACAGTCGTGACATTAGTATAATTCTACTACAAATTCATTATAGATTTTGTTGTCCTTATTACGGGGTTCGAACCAGTCTAGGAACCAAAACTAGGTTCGGGGAACTGCCTGTCCCTAGAAAACAACTCTGACGGGACCGAGGGCATTCTTGGTTCGGTTCATGGTTCCAAACCGTTGGCCGCCCGAACCGCGGCAACACTACCGGCGTATGGCACTGTTCGTGTGCGTTAGATGTAATAAATACATTATTACCATGCTACAAGTATTGCTCGACCCCTAAGGCCTAAGGGCCGACCGGGTGGGCCTCCGTTGGATCAGGGCATTGGGATGCCCACATATTGGATGGGCCCCATGTAGACGCCCTCTCTGCAGACCGGGGCCATCGAGTGGGCCCAGCGTCGCACAATGCTATCCTGCGTAGGATACAATAAATATGCTCACAGTATACCACAAGCACTTTTCGACTGCTGGGAGGCCCATCGGATCGGCCCATCATGACTTGAATGGGATCAACGGTAATTTGTCGGGTGGACATTATATGCATTGATGCTATACTGTGAGCACTTTCCAGTCGACGGGACGCCCATCAGATCGGCCCACCAAAGGTTAAGTAAGATGGATGGTCATCGGTCATCTGTCGGGGGCGCCCCCAGAAGTATACTGCGAGCTTTTCGGCCGCTGAGAGGCTTACTGGATCGGCCCACGATGGCGTAGGTGAGAGGGGCGATCATCTGTCAGATCGTGGCCTCCGAGCAGATTATCTCCTGGCAGAAGCTCTCCTGGCATGAAATGGCCGTCGGGAGGGCCCACAGTCCTGAGTCACCTGTGTGCGATGTATAGTATAAACTGACTAGGTTCAGGACCCGTGAACAGCCACGGGAATAAAAGAGCTCTGTAATGGAAGTCACCTATCTCTTATATGTAAAGCTTAAAGTACCAAATAAATCACACTGAGCTATCGGAGACGTTAGGCGCCATCGTTGGTCCCCGCCCACATCGATGGTCACCCCTTAGGAGGCTTGTAGGCTTGACGCCGATCATTGCGTAGCCGACTATACATTTCAGTCTAGAAAAACTTCGCCGTCTACTAAGGCAAACTCAAGAAGTACTTGTGTACTACTGTTCTTCTCTTGGACAGCGACTTCATATCAGGCCGAGACGAGGCAATTGCTGCAGGCCACGCAGCATAAATAATATGTACAAGGCATGTCATCGCTTCGCTCCGACAGGGAGGACGTCAGATGTTGAGCTATACCGATATTTATATATATACTAGTTGCATGACCCGTGGACAGCCACAGGACAGAAAAGCTTTCAACAAAATTTTGTAAACGTAGTTAATCAAACTATGTGTAATAATAAGTAGTTATCAAGTAATTTTCCAGTGGAATATTGTCCAGCCAAGATATTTGTGATCAGGCAAGCTTGGGGACTCATTTGCACACCTATGGGTCTCTTAACTTACCCGTACAAATCTCAGTCCATCCGTGCATCTCTCAGTTTTTCTGTGTAAATGTTAGTTCACCTGTGCATTTTCACTACCTGTGTATCCCAAATGCTAAGACCTTAGATTATATTCAAGATTAATTGAGATTTTCGCTTGTTATATGCTCCAGAAATTTGTAGACCATTGATTTATACATGCAGGACACAGATTGAATGCAAGTGTACCTACAAAATTAACCACATATATTCTGCTCACCTATACACATACTATAATACTCATACTATAATTAGATTGCTACACATCATAACGGAGAACAGAGCACTAACGGAGCACTACTGAAGGTGAAGCACGACCCGCGAGAGACGCGGCAGCAAGCTGTGAGAAAAAAGTGCGAAAGAGGACAGCCCAGGATAGCCGGGGCGCGACTTGGACGACAGCCAATCAGATGTAAATTTTGTCTAACCAATCACATATCAGCTTTGTCTCGACCGCCTTCTAATTATACTAGGTGCAGGACCCATGGGCAGCCACGGGACACAAAGAGCTCAAAGCACTGGCAACGAAATAACCCATATCTTATATGTAGACTACCACCTGTAAAAAATGCTACCCTGGGACACCCGTACTGCTCAACTCTATTGATATGTTACCCGTGTCATGTGTACTCTTCCAAGCTCCCCGATTCATTTCCTGGCACATCACTCATTCTTGCCACCGGGTTTTGTTTGAACACCCAGATTATCACGATACTCCCCATGCAATCTGCACACTTTATTGCTTGGATCATTACCTGGGTGACTGACCAGTGGTCCTCGCATAAACACATATATACCCACTTGATTTCAAGCTCTCAGATTGGGTGCAATGCTGAAAGAAATTATAGAAAGCATCCATTGTGTCACGAACAAAATTACCTTGAGATTAATGCAAGACATGGCAGGGCTTTCAACAGAACTTTGTAGACATAATAGAGCTAATATTGTAATAAGCAGTTATCAGTCAAACATCTGGCGGAAGATTGCTCAGTGAAAGCCTTTGTGCTGAGGGATTCAATAATACCTTGGTTCACCCATGCGCCTCACAGCTCACCTGTTCAACTCACAGTCCACCAATACATTTCTTATTTTCACCCATTTACAACCCTCAGTTCAAATTCACTCGCACATACCCTGGATCAACCCCAACATTAATATTAGGCCCTCAAATTGCATTTATGTGTCAGAGTATGTTGCTACCTCACCCGTTTATATGTAATATTGGTGTTTGCCCATAATGACAAATTCACAAATACTGCAAGTGTTTCTTAATAATAGCGGCATCATTACTTGAAAAGTATTTTAAAGAATAAGGTGGATGGGTTTCAATAATTAGATTTTCGTTATTTAATCTTTAATCCAAGACAGGAAAGGAAGACGCCTGTTATTAACAGCTGAACAGCCTTGTATTTGATAAAGTTTTCAAATAATGAGAACCTAATTATTGAAACCTGTTCACCTTAATCTTTAACATAATTTTTAAGTAATAATGCCACTATAATTTAGAAATGCTTGCAGTGAAAGGGAGATGGAGCACAGAAGGCTGACGCGCTGACGCGAGACGCGGCAGTACCCCGTGAGAAAACAGTGCGAAAAGGTGATAGCCCAAGATAGCCGAGACGCGGCAGCGACAGCAGCCAATCACATATACTGTTATCCCCCGCCAGAAGAGACAGCCAAACTTTAGCGTGGAG